GGGGGGAGATAAATGTGTACGATAACCTTGATTAGTTTTTCTCTTTTGATTTATTTCTCTGTAGTGGTCTCCGATGCCTTATGTTTCGTCTACGCGCGCGTAGCCTATACCGAGGAGTAGTATGCATTGTCTAACCCTACCCGTACTCCTGGGGTCATGGGGAGGGGGGTTGTATTCTTCACATTTTAGAATACCTCGTATTACGAAGATCTATTTGAAACTTTCAGCATTTCTCAAAAAATCATTTTGACAGACTGGATTGCAAAGCGTACGGATCGGATTAACGAGTAAATTTCCTCTTTGGAAAGTGGGGGCAAAGAGTTCCCCCTCGTCGTATGGATACGATTGTAAAACACGATGTACGTATAGGGTTAAGTAAACTTCTTTGCGTAGAGGACCCGTTTGGTAATGGCCATGTTTTTTTCGTTGCGTTATGTACAACGTCTGTTAGAATATGTTATAATATGGTGTCGGCTTTAAGGAGAATAATTCTCTTGATTTGTGGGGTGGGCGTGGGAGTTTGCGAACAGTGTCGGGATAGCTTGTGCCTGCCGTCGATTTAGGCCGGTCCCAGAGTGGCTCTGTAGGTCTGACCTGTAGCTCGCCAAGCGCACGCTGTCTGCGTGTCAGCACAGCCGCACTGTGCGTTGGCTTCTGTGTCTGAGTAAGCGCCCTCTGCGTGTCAGCACAGCCGCACAAGGCTAGAAGCACACAGGCCTACGAAAGTAAACAAACTGTCCAATTAGGCCAACCTCTCAATTCAAAAATTTAATGTAGGATAAAGTGCATTCCTTGGCATTTTGTGGTCAAGTGTTGATGGATATCTAATAGCAAAGCACCTAATAATACTTACTTCTTGCTGATTTTGATGATATGCAAAGAATTTCAGTCGAAAATAAACACAAAGCGAAGCTGTGGGCGAAACATGTCCGACGTGTTTTACAACACTGTTGAATAGCACGTCTGACGCGTCGCGCAGCTCAGCGGACAACAGAAAGACCATACAGCGACGCTGCTCAGGCACACGATAAGGCCGGTCCCAGAGTGGCTATGTAGGTCTGACATGTAGCTCGCCTAGCTCGCATCGTGCAAATGAACATATTATACATTTATATCGGCGAGCTACAGGTCAGACCTACCGAGCCACTCTGGGACCGTCCTAATGTATACATTCATTTGCACGATGCGAGCAAGGCGAGCTACAGGTCAGACCTACAGAGCGACTTTGGGACCGGTCTTACTTATAAGTATTGGTGAAAGCTGTGCTTTTCCATAAAATCGACGTTCACTCGTTTCTTTCTATCAAATGTCCGTACTATCATAGTCAGAATCGAAAACCTCTTGCGTCTGCACTGAAATGCAGACGAACTCTCCCGGATCCTTTTTTATTGTTTTGTTTGGTTTGGTTTGTTTTTGCTTTGGTGGGGGTTTTTTTTG